AATAACCCTCAGTGCAATACCTGTAAATATACCTCGTACAGATTATGCAGATCCGTACAGGTCTCTAGTTTTAAATACTGTTATTTTTATTCCTATTTATCTCACTTCAATGAACATTCCTTTGTCTGTCTGCATTGTTTACTGCCTGTTTATTTTGCATTGTTTGCAGTGTTTGTTGCTTGTTAATATTGCTTATTTTGTTATTACACAACCTTATGCTGGTTTACTGTTTGCTTGCCCCATGCATGGGGGTATATACATACACATTGAGAGCTGATATACCAGAGTCAAATTCCTCGTGTGTCCTACACACCTGGCCAATAAAGTTGATTCTGATTCCGAGTGGTTGAACTGAATTCCTCAGCCACATTTGAAAGTCCTTTGAAACCTCAGACTTGACAGCTATATTGTATATATTTGGCTTTAATAGCTTCCGAGGAGGCTACCCAGAACAGCATCAGACATTTATGACGGGCGCCGATATCTGGCATTAGGCTATGGTGGGTGGGCTCCTTGTGTAGGCAGTTTACAAGTCTGTGGAAGTTTGCTTCACTTTATATTCCTTTCTCTTTAAGAACACATAAATGACATTATCTACTGTAAAACTTGACTTGGGGATTAAAAACAGCTTCCCCTCTTGTTCCCATTCATGAGGAACTAATGCAGTCTTTGTGTATGGTGAACCTAAAAGAGATGTAGAAGGCAAACACCATAAATTAGTTTTATGTAGCATGCTAACATGCTAGAATGATATTAGCTGAACCAGTCATGTACAAAAGCTAGCTGAACCTCTCTTTATTTAGCCAAGTTATCACCCTGAATTTGAACAGCTTGGTAGTACTGACGGCAGACCACATGTTAGCACAGCCCAGGTCACCCGAGTTCCTCCCAGGACATAGTTTCCTCCTCAGTTTCAAGTTATGGTTTGTTCCTAGTCTCTTTAACCAGTAAATGCTTTGCACTTGTCCCATTAGAAAAGCAAAAGTCTTAGCTGCATGTTTTTATGCTTGTTGGCTAATTAAATTTTTTACATTAATTTAAATAATTAAATAGATTTAGATTCAGTTTTTTTTGAGAGCAGTTTGATTTGGAGTAAAATCTGGCTGTCTATAGCTTTCCCTTTACCAAGTCCTATTTGTGTCATCTCCAGAACAACCAGATTGTGAAGTGTATCCTTTGCACACTGATTTTCCATTGTTCCAGCAGTTGAACTTTTTGTCAAGTAGATTTTTTTGTAGCTCGATTAATTTTTAACGTGTTATTTTGACTCATTACACTTATACAGAAAGAACGTGTTTTACTGACTAAGAAATTCCTGGCTTATTATTTATTCGCTAGAACACCCATGCAGTAAGAGACTTGTACAGCACATAAACTCATGCATGGGTACGCTTGTGTGTGTGTGTGTGTGTGTGTGTGTTTACAAACTGTGTAGGTGCTGTCTGTCTCCCCTGGTTGCCAGGCTTCATTGAACAAACCCTTGGTAATGCAAAGAGACAAGGCAACATGACAGTCACTATTGTCATGTTAATAGATTGTTGCGAAGTGTGTGCTGTTGCTGTGCGTATAACTTTTAGACTCTCACATGCTCACAGGATTTGTGTGAGAAAAGAGGTCTCTTCCATGACACCCAACCCTTTCTCCATTCACGTCACCCTGAGGTAACTCATTTGGCTCTGTCCCAATTCACTTTATTCACCAGGAGGCCAAAGCTGATTTGCGTCATCCTCTAGCTACAGAAACTGGATTGATCCATGAAGGCGATTTGTGTTTAATGGAGGTAACTGATTTGGAGACACCAGAAACTTTGGTTTAATCCTTATCATTCCTGTAGTCTGCATAAGGACTTTTACTGCCCAGATAAGCCAAATTTTATTGAGCACAGTCTATGCTTGTGCCGAACAGACTGACCATTGATGATTTGGCAACCTTCGTTAATCAGCACAAGTGACTCTCCTCCTTAATTTCATGTAAATTGTCTGTGCTCCCCTTTCCATCTAGCAGTCCTTACACATGAACTGTGACAAAACACTGTCTTCATTTTCTATATGTCTGCCCCTACTGCTTGATTCTATGGATGTACACTGTTAAGATGGCAGTAAAGTCTTTCCTATGAATACATAGGACTGACTGACTTATACATACCTGATGCTGGACAGAAAAATGACCTTGGTTTGTCCACTACACCAGAAATGCTTCACAGTTGTTCCTGGAGGCTTGCTTGATTTGAAAGGGTGTGTGCACCGTGTTCACGAACCATGTGTGACTACAGCGCTTTTCTCTGCTTTGCTATCTGCAAGTGCCGGTGTGGTGTCAAAGTCTCGTCCCTCATGATTCCACTTGTGTTACATCTTCTCTTTCCTGATGAGCTGCAGCTTTCATCTTCTCTGTAACATTCACGTTTCATGTTCCTCTATGGGGTTGAAGCTAACCCTTTTACCAAGCTGATCTTGCTGAGTTATTTGCTGTTCATAGACAGAGAAGCATTCCTTCACCTCATATGGCCTTGGATGTCTGCATTTCTTTTGGCACAAACACTGGGCTTTTTCATGGGCTCTCAGGTAGAGGTGCACACAAACCATAAAATGTTTCCTCTTCCTCAATGTTCTTCATTAATTCTCATTTAGCTTCTTTCTTTGTGTCTCTTTGTCCTGTTATTATGTTTGCTTTAACTTAGCATATAAATGTAGCTTTGACTAACACAGATGTTGAAAGCTTTAAGTTTTTCCTTCTGTCTTGGCATTCAGTGTCAACCAGCAATATTCATGCTAAGGTTCAGTTTAACAAGTTGGTAAAGACCTGACCTCTGTGACGAGAACATCAGGTACTCTACTATTGCTACACAGCAGATTTTATGTACCACAGTCACCATCTTGCATGGCTCCTGACTTACACAAACTAGTGGGGTCGAGGCTACAGAGGATAGTTCCCATGAATTAATTAGCAAAAATATCACGACATATTTCTTTGATAATGTTTGACAAAATGGTCCCTCAAGTTGTAATCATTATAATTTAAACAGCCACACACATTAACACAATTTTGATTTGAAAAGGATTTGCTCTTCTCTTTTCAAGACCAGGTTCAATCCATAGTAGCGTAAAAAAAGTTTACTGGGATTAAGTCACAGCACTTCATCTGGTGACTGGACATGTAAAGCTTCTGACGTCAATGTTCCAGTACATCCAAAAGGCAAATTACTTCACAAAGCTCGCTGAACTAATGAAGTCACTGTCAATATGCCTCAGTAAGTTAGCTTGATTCAGAGTTGAAGCTCCTGGAGAGTTGGGGTCCCTTTTAAGTAAGACTTAACAACCTCTACCTGCGTTCTGCGTTCTTTCTTAAAGAGCTTTCCATCAGCTTTCCACAAACTGTTGCTTTTCTCAGTAGTGAGGTGAGAGGCTGGCAAGTTTAGAACACAAGTTGCTTCCAAGGAGAGCCTCATAATTTACAGGCTACTGGAGGGAAAAGACTAGTGCCATAGGAGCCAAATGAGACATCACTTTTGTAAGCACCCAGTCTGACAGAAATGGAAACTGGCATGGGTTATAGACAGGCACACACAGAATACATTTTCATGTTTTTATTTTGTGTCAGACACATTTGTTTTATGCAGAACACCAAGGCACACCTCTCAATACATACAGACTTTTGCACATCAGCATCACACATAAATGTTACAGACATGGACACTCATCCACACATAAGGCCACACACTGTTGTTAATAATAAAGCTTTCCCACAGTGCATCACCTCTCCAGCTTCCAGCCTGTAAACTCAGTGACCCATGATTACTTTTTCCCACAGAAATGATAAAATTCATAACTAAAAATCAGATATAACCCGGCCAGTGAGGTGGTTAGTGCTACTATCCATTACCAACCAGCCAACTAAACTGAGTGTCTGTTGTGTACTGAGCCTCTTCACATTGTTTAGTGTACTGGAAAGAAGCTCACAGCAGATCATATTGAGCCTATTGACGAGTGGAGAGACTAAAGAGAGACAGCTTGTCTGGCAGCTCAGTTCACTTTGTTCCGGGAAACACATGCACACTCAATAGAAGCACATTCAAAGGTCAAGTCTTTTAAAATTAAATACAAAATGGACAAAAAGAAATATTGATGCCATCTGCTTTTTCAAACATCAACATTTTGCTGCCATCTGTTGACCAAATATTGCATGACGGCTGCAGAAACCTGTGCTGTGATTGTTTTTATCTTGGATCTCCTGTTTGTGTTTCTCCAGAACTGCCTGATCCGGGTGACGTCTCGAGGACGAGAAGCCCTGGTGACGGACTTTGGTCTGGCCAGGGAGGTGGTGGAGCTGCCTGTTAAAGACAGCGGCAGGAAGCTCTCACTGGTGGGCTCGGCCTTTTGGATGGCCCCTGAGATGCTCCGAGGGGAGCCTTATGACCGCAAGGTAGAGGATAAACTGCTGTTTCTAGTATACATCTCCAATTTCTGCATATAGTGAATACTGTGTTGACAATTTGTTGCAAACATTTCATATATTCAACAAGCGGTGGACAGAAATTAAGTTAAATACACATTCAGTGTAATTTCACATAGCATGCGTTTACTATATTGCTCTGAAATAGTCATATTAGCAGGTGTCAAGACTTAAATATATATTTATAAAATTGTGCTTATTTTTCTGACCAAAAAACCCCCAAAATTTCTAAATTACTGTCATATAAGATGATGAATAACAGCAAATTCTCACAAGTGAGGAGCTGTATCCAGATGATCAATTATCAAAATAATGGCTGGTTAATTTTCAAACACTAAGCGTTATGTGTTTTGTTCGATATATTATTCATGAAATGTATATTTTTGAACAAAATGTTGATATTTTATATGTGAAGTTTATTCAGACTCGATCATATCTGACTTGATCCAGGTGGATGTTTTCTCCTTTGGCATTGTTTTCCTGCTGACCCAGAGATCCTGCCCAGATCACAGGTAGGGCTTATTAAGGAACAGCAGAAATCACCTCACATACAGAGGGAGACATGCACACACACGCACACACAGTGTTGGCAAGGATGCACATTTAAGGAAATCCTTAAACTATCACATAATACTTTATTTTGTTAGAAAAAAGTCTCACAAGCGAAAGGTTGCAAGGTATATAAACTGAGTTGCTTCTGCATAGAAATACTAGAACATACTGTACATGCACCTCATTTTTTGATCTTTATGTCACATCTAAGATGATAATTAACCATTGTAACATTGTAGATCAGTCAGAAAACAAGGAAAAGTATGCCATGGGCTCTTTTAAATACTGGCTCTGTCAGGCAGTTTTTAATGGTGTATATATTGACCTAAAAACAGTGTAGGTGAAATCCAGCTCTTATCATGTATCATCCAACACAAATTAGTGTTCTTTTTCCATACAGCATGTGACTAGCAGGTTATATTATATTAAGATACGACATACAGTATGTTGTTATCCACTTATTCCAAGCTGTGAGAGCATGACACATTTTTGCAAGGGTCTAGTACATTGTGTATTAGTGTGTTCATGTTAATATGTTTTAGGACTATGGGCTGGATGTGAATTCATTCAAGGGGCTGGTGGCAGACTGCCCTCAGCGTCTCCTGGAGTTAGCAACCAGCTGCTGTACGGTAGGTAAACAGAAGTCTTTCAGTCTCTGTTGTTGTTGTTAAGGTACAAAACGGTATATACAACAAAATGCTAAATGTAAAAGGGATTTAAAACTAATGGTAATATAATATCATAGGGAATTATTGCTGCACTAAGATTTATTTTACTTTTGATATGCAAGTGCAATGATAATACACATTCTGGGAATGTTACCTTTACTTAGATAACGAATCTGAGTACTTCTCCCACTAGTAAATATCAGTGATAACAATGGAAAAACTGAATAACAAGCCAAACTCCAGGAAGCAGACGGCCTCACAGAGCCCCCTCTCTTCTCTCTGATCTAAGGTGGAGTCCTTCAGACGGCCAGCATTTACAGAGGTGCTGGATGAGCTGGGAGAAGTCGCTGAGAGCCTGGAGCCACTGCCAACACCTGATCTGACCACAAGCTGAGCAGTCCATCTGGGAACCCCACCTATTCAGCACCAGGACCAGGGGCTCGGGGATCATTTATCGCCGTCTGGACAGAAAACAGGACTGAGCCTGAGCAAAAGACACCTGATCAGATGTTCAGCCATCCCTGGCATCAATTTCCCTCCACTGCACAACATATGACATGTTGGAACTAGTTTTCACTGAGGTGGTGCAAATATACTGTGCTAGATGTGTGTTCAGTGAGCGGTGGAAATGACCCTGACTTCTCATGGACACTGAGCTTTGACACTTTGGTGTACTTATAAAGAGTAGTTACACTTGTAGGAGAGAATATACATTATGTTCTGTTATGTTGCTGTTACTTGACTAAAAGGTTGCGCTTCTCTCTTCTCTGTTCCTCCTGTTCTTTATGAGTGGCTTGTTTTGTAACTAATAAGACAGATGAGCAAGTCTGACTTCTGCAACAGGAAACTGCATTTGAAGACTGAGCGAGAATGGTCTGCTCTCTGCTGGGACAGAATATCACCAGACATGACTTCATTCCACATGGGATACATACACAGGACTAACAGGAGCCAAAGAGATTTGAAGTTGTTTTGCGTGTTTTGAAGTTCATTCTACCAAGGTCACGCTCAGATGGGTTTAGGTTCACAGTTCATATTTGTGGTCATCTTTAACATTGATCTCATTTGAAGCCATTTATTATTTCCATAAAAGTATGCTTTTCATGAATAGTACTGAAAAGCACCAATGTATCAGTTTTATGAGAACAAAGAAAAAGAATTGGGCCTTAAGACTTCACCTATATAATGACTTTGCATTTTTGCAGTGGATTTTGATCCATAGAACCATTAATTTCTCAAAAGAAATGACAAAAGTGGTCATCGTCAGTAACAGTATGCAGAATTTGATGCCCACATCTCCTTTCCCTTTGTCATATTTTGTCATTTTTCTGAGTCTAGGGAGTTGGTTTGAGCTGAGCATGTGTGTGAAACTATCCATAAGTCCTCCAACCTTGTTAACTATACAGGTAACTTGTCCCTACCCTCTGATATGTCTGCATTAGCGTCCCTACAAGCAGCAGGAGACAGGCCACAGATAAACAGTTAAAATCACTGTTGAAAAATAAATAACTAAACAGTACTGTCATTCCGGGTTTAGGTAAAACCATGTATTTACAGTAGGTATAGGGAAATGTCTGGGTAGAAATAAGCAGATTGTTCAGGTTGGCGCACCTTCGTTGTCATGGTTTCATTAAAAAAAACACATGGTTACTGTTATAGAATAGTTGACATCTTCATTAAAAGAAGCAATGTTGACTGCCATCTTGAAACAAGTAGTAAACAGCAACATCTGGTATTAAAATCCACTGTTTTGTCAACTCATCCACCTACCCAACCTCCTTACAGCATGAAATACAGTGTCACCTGACTTCCTGCTTTGCTCCTGTTATAATTAGCACAGCAGGCAATGTAACTTGAATGTGAAAAATTTTGGGGGGCTTTTGCTGAAATGACTGACATGGTCTTACCTGACTGTTCGATGTTGCTTAACTTTCAAATGTAAGTAGCATCATAATAAACTACTCGCACAAAGGACCTAAAGGGTCCTTTTTAAGGTAGGGCACTCTTGCAAATATATATCTTTTCTCTTTTTGCTCATAACGTTTTCTTAAAATTTTGCAACTTTTTGAACTTGAAAGGGTCCAGACCAGTGTGTGCAGTGATTGTGACCATTGGCTCTATCCTGTTAAATATATCTTGCCTTTTTAAAATTGAGCATTTTACAAAAAAAAAACATATAAATCAGACTTTGGAGATCCAGGTTTAGGTTATTTTTTTGTTTGTTTTTTGCACATATACACAAAGAATGGGAAAAAAAAGTCAAAATAATACTTATATACAAGTGAAACAGAAAGCAGGCTTGTAAATACTGAAGTAAACCTGAGGTGGATGCCAAGAAGAATATCTGGACAGGAGAAAAGTAAAACTGATTTAGAACTTTACTTTCTGGCAAATTTATGCATTCAGGGTAAATTATCATTCAGAGAGTTTTTTTTAGAACTCACCAATTCAATCTGAAAACATTTTCATTTATTCTGCTTCAGTAAAATGTGAAAATAAAGTTTGAGTTTCATTTCACATCTTTGTGTAATTTATTGTAAGACTTTCTGTACTCAACTGACATCAATAATAAGACTGTTTATAAATGCTTTTTAAATGTGCTAGTCACTGTAATGATTCCATGTCAGTATTCTGTAATTAAAAGATTCAACCAACCAGTCTGTACTAAGATTTGTTAAGTTTTAATTTCTCAGTTGATTTGTGGAATGCTTCTTTAATTTGATAGGGCATGCTTTGCCTGGTATGACCAGTGGCTTATTGTGGCTACTGTTAAAACATTTTAATAATGTTTAAACAGATACTACAGCGTCTGACATTCCTGTATGAATTTTCTCTGATTGTGTTACTGTATAAACACAGTATACAGCTACAGTATAAACCTTTATCCTATAATTGACACTTGATTAGTTAAATTTTACTTAAATATTGCCTATTACAATGCACACATTAAAAGAATGTATGCAGTCTTTAATTTGAATATAGTTTATAGAGTTATTTGTATGGATAGTGCTCAAAGTTACTACTGGAAGAAGACGAAGTCATAAAACCTGTAACTATTCCAAATTTCATAGAACAATTAGTCCATACTTTACGTTCCAAAAAAAAGTCAATTTTAAAGGTTGACCCTAAAAGTAAGTTATTTCATAGAGAGCATTTACTTATGTGGTTGAAAGATGCAATTGCTTTTGAAGCTGTTGGTTTATGTCCAGGGAAAACAGCAAAAAACATCTATGGCTTGGTGTAAAATCCTATAACATCCAGAAGGCCACTCCCAGACTGCTGCTATTGGTTGGGCCAGGTGCAGGCGCTGTGCTGGCACTGTGTGTTCAAAATACCTGCATGTAGCTCTCAGCTTGTTTTATTACTCAGCTTGTGTTTGTTTTGAAGAGCTTTTTATATATGCAACAGTGTCAACCTGCATTGTACCGGCATGCAAGACTGCGAAGGAAAACAAAATTATGCTGGTGTCAGCTGTTATTGTGGCACCTCTTCCTGTCACAGGTGATTCCTCCAGAAGGTACAGCCTCGTGGTTTATGGTTTGTCAGAGATAAGAAACATATCTTGAAGAGATCATTGATGAATGTGACGGCCTGTAACAGAGATCCATAAAGAAGGAACAGCATGACTGTTAAACAAGTGTTCCAGTGCTATAGCAGTTTGCTGCACTATCAGGGAAAAAAGGCATCAGTGAACTAAATTTTCATCTTAAAGTTAGTCATCGGATGGCAAATGGTTCAGTACTGGAGACAAATTCCTTGTGTTTGTAACATACAACAGAAGTGATATTAATCTTACATAACCACTGCCCACATAACCTACAGTCAACCTGGGGTATTTGGTGTCCCTTACTGACTTTGCCTAGTAAGTAATCCAGTCTTGACAGTGTCTGTTAGGGTAAACAACATGTGCCTTTGAGTTATAAATAAAAAAGTAAATAACCAAACTATTTAGACCGTTATTTATTTTTAATGAATCATTGCTGAATTATAGCTCTGAAGCTCTCAATCACATAACGAAGGAACCACCATTCTAGCTTAGATTAGGATCTAACAAACATCTGTTGCTGTGGCTGTGAGCTAACTGCTTTTATGTCTGGTCACTGGAGCTCTTAGTGGTGCTGACCATGTTAATTATGTGTCTTTGAAGCAAAGCTTTTAAGCATATTTCCAATTAACAAACCAAAGCGAGGCTTCCCTTTGAACCATTATGGAACACATAGTCTTTAGATTTTCTCCTGCTTCTCAAGACTGTCCAGCCTCTCTGGCTCTGCCACACAAACACATACACACACTCCCAAACCCAGCACTCACCTGGTGTAAAAGCACAGCACGAACATGCCAAAAGATAATGATGTATTCAGGGTTTTCACAACATGCTTTTTCTGCCCCCCACCTCTCCCCCAACATCAAAGTATAAAGAAGTGGCTTGATGAAAATGGATTATGCAGAGGTGGACCTGTTTTTTGTGGCTGTGTTTGGTCTGATGAGTTGATGGTCAGGTTGAGTGCAAGGTCAGGGCAAGAGGAAAGGAGGGTTTCAGGCAGCAACTTCAGGCAGCATTACCATTAATGTGCAAGTACTTATTGTATAAAACACTGGATGATGAGCTTTGTGATGTAATCTGACTACTTTGGACTTATTTTGACCTCCACTCAAAAATCAAACAATTTTGTGTTATCATCACTGCAGCTCATCTGTAAACAACAAGTTAGTAAGAAGTGACAAACTCACAATGCAGACTGATGCACACTACTGCCAGAGGAGATGGCCACTAGGGGGCAGCAGAACAAACTCAAAGCAACATCCCACACTGGACATTTAAACCTTTATTAATACATAATGTTGGTAAGTGCAACTTTATCTCAACAAATATTTATTTATTTGATTTTAATTCTTGTTAAAATGACCACAAAGGTCATTTCCTTCATCATCACAAAAACAAGTATATGCCATGAGACAGGGGAAATGATCAGAACAACATACAAACCCATACTGACACTTTCTTTTTAACATTTATCAGGACTTCAAAAAACACAAATGAAGCTGGCACTGATTTAGTTTGCAGTCACTTTCCATGCATCTTCATTGTCTGCACGTTCCACTGATGTACCTTATTTTCCAGCAGCAGAGCTCCCTCCCCTCTCCACTTTATTATTCCATTTAAGACAAATTCTTACTATATTTTCACTGTGTATATGGAGTGAACACTTTGGACTACCCTGCACTTGCCTTAAGGCTGTCTTACAGTTTTTTAACAAGCAGGAAAGGGAACAAGAAGAAGAAGCACATTCATTTCCTGTTAAAGGTATCACAATAATGAACTGATTTTGTTCTACTGTTACTGTAGTCATTCTGCTGTAGGCGGTGAAATCCCTAAATACCATCTGTCTTATTACCATGAGCCCATTATCTCCTGTCATGGACAGTAAAGGTCTCTGAAAATAAAAGCAAGATGAGCTACTACAATATAGAACATGGAGAAATTGTCATGGGTTGCAAGTGGTATTAAAATCACCAAAATAATTGCCTTATGATTGATACATTCATATAATTGAACTCAAATCAGTTTAAAGAATACCCAAAACCATACCCAAAACATACCTCCATAAAACCTACAGTACCACTGCTGAACATCCTTTTTCCCGGGACATCATTATGGCTGTCCAATTTAAATAATCAATTTTTAGTTTAATTTGTTACACTTATTTTCCTTTTCTTTCCTTAATCATTTTCTGAAGTTCTCAGCATCAAACAATGGTCAGCTGATGAGTTTGTTCGGCTGACATGGAGACTTGGCCATTTTGTCCAATTATTTCCAAGGTTAAAAAGTAAACTTTCATGCCACTCACCAAAAGACTATTTTTCTCTCAGTTACAGTAGCAAGGATCATTTTGTGCACCACCTGTCTTTTATAAACACAAAAACATCCTCAAACAGTGAGGGAGCATCTCACTCTTCTTTTGCTTCAAATGAACATAAAAATACATGATCGCTACAATACTAGAACTAGTCCTTCAGTGTAACAGACCAGTATAAGTTCTGCAGTACCTGCCCCCTCTGTTTAATAGCCATGAAAGTTATGTACCGTTATGTAATGAAACAGTTACAGTGTTGATGTGTCCTCTGTGTGCATCTACAGATCACCAGCGTTCTGACACCTGTGGTGCTTCCAAGTCTGACATGAAGCTGGTACAGGATATACAGTAGATGCTCTACTAGAGGCTCCCAGGTGTTCTGACATGCAGGCAGTCACTTCAATACAAGTCACATTTAATTGCACTATTAATGATGCAGTTTTAGTTGTATAAATTACAAATCAAGGTAAACCCACTAACAAACACAATACTGCACCTTTTCTGTTAAACACTGTGATTAAGAAATGACTGCGCTGCTTCTGTGGCTTAAACCTGAACCTCAGGTTTATGTTGTTATGTACATTGAGCTATTTGCCCTAAGTTATGGTTCATTTGTGCCCTTTTGGCTATTACATGATGCTGTGATCATATAGTGAAAATTACATGGAACTGCTTAACAAGAGTAGGACCTAGGATGGGAAATAACCAAAACTTACATGCGGTGTATGAAATGAGCATCCAGGTTTGGCAAGGACATTAATAAGCACATTTCCAAAAAATGCTAAACTGTCATGATCCCCA